GGAGATAAAGCTGGATACAGCACTGAAGGGAGTTTAAGAGCCTGCAGCCTCTCAGACTTTAGAGAACTAAATTTCTGCAGTAAGAGAAAACCTGAGGTCTATGAAACTGTGAGTTTCTGGACTCCCAGGAAGCCATGCAGTGCCTACTGACAGGCTGCCATGAAATACTTAATGGCTGTTTAATAGCTCAGGTAAAGAAAAGATGCTCCATTTTGTCTGCTCCTCTATGGAAATTTGCCGAGACCACACACACAATGTACAGCACTGTCACATAAGAAAACACTTCCATTGTTTTCCTTTGGTCCCACTCAAAAAAGGCAGTTAACAAAATTTTAATTTTGTCCTTAACAATGAAAGAGAACACCCCTAAAGAAAGGGAAATGATCTCAGCTAGATAGGCTAGCTGTTACTCTAAACAAGAGGTGCTACTGAACACATATCACATCAGTCTATGGGATGCTCAGCCTCTTCTACAATGCAGCACGCTCACACCCGCCTCCTTCCTCTCTTCTCCACCGAGGAGCAGCACACACCTGTACTGCGGGATCACTGAGCAAACAGTGTTTGCACTCTCCCAGCCACCAAGACTGTTATTTCCATTGCTCATGAATAGATCACATCTGGGAAAAAATGCTTTCTGCACTCTTCTCAGCAAGAAGTGGACAAAATTTGCTCCCAAATATGCCAATATGTTTTTCAAATTACATTTCAAAAGTCCTCCTTAGAAACAGAGACTGCCTCTGATTTACAGATCACAAACGACTTCTCTACACTTATACTCTATACTATCTGCTCTTATAGGAATGAATCCAAGAGGAGATACTGGCCTGAAGAGACCTTTCATCTTCTTTCAGCAGTACAGAAACATTGATGAGCAAGTGTGCTGGCACCTCTGGCTGTGTAAGCTCAGAAGTGCAACAGCTGGGAATCGCAGCAGAAAGAGATTGGTAGCGCAGCGAGTAGAAGACATGTTTGGTAATGCTGTTCTCCCAGCCAGGCATTGCCAGGAAAGACAGCTGTTGTATTTGGTAACTATTCCTTATATGTTGATTATGATGTTCATTGACATCATTTTTTCTATTCCTACTGTTGGCCTTCCCTTCAATCCATAAAATCCAACAAGAAGGAAGACAGGTTTTTGATAAGCATAGTTTGAGCTACACTTTGTGAAGTTCAGAGTTCAAGCTATTTTCACGCTATGACTAGGTGCATGATCCACAAAACATTTCATGAACGTTTATACGTACAAATTTGGTTGGCCCTTAACTGAATTCCAGTCTGACTGAGCTCCAGGAATGGGAATATTTCCAGAAATCATGTTTTAAGCCCAGACTGCCAAATAATTTTGGAAAATAAACTTTAGGAGAAAAATAAAACTATAACCCAACTCAATTCATCTTTATTTTCCAAAATGAAGACAAAACCAAAGAAGTAAAACTTGTCAATACCTTGCAATCTTGAATGAACATGAGAAAATAATCATGTTTGCAGCCTTTAAAATGATAAAAAGGGCAAAATGGATGGACTGAAATATGCTCTGTGAATGACTTGGTTCGTTTTTCATGTCACCCTGTTCTTCCTAACTCCAGATCTCATATACATGTCTTTCATGAATGGTGACATTCATTAGCAGTTTGATTACAAGATGCTAATGTAAGCCATTCCTGTGATGCTAGTTGCTACTCCCTAGGCTTTAGGCTAGAGAAAAGCAATACCGTCCACAAAATTGGAAACTTCTCAATAGGACTGTCTGGGTTGGGTAATGAATCCAAACTTGCTTTCAGACCCGCACACATGACAAATGGGGTGAGACAACAATGAAGAGAAATGAGTACAAAACATACTCACCAAACTAGGTGAGCAATTCCTCTAATTTCCTAGAAGCTACCTGCAGTAGCAAAGGCCACTTGTCTAGTGTGACTAGAAGGGCCTACTTCTTTTTGACAAGTGAAAGGCTGACACTGAGATTCAAATCACACAAAAATAAAATGCAAAGTAACCTTGGATCACAGAAAGAATCTCATGACAAACATGCATGCTCATTGTGATATATATTTTCAAGAAACTAAATTCCACACAATGGACAGCAAAATAATTTTCTCTATAGTGCTCCATTATGGCAACAACTTTTGCCTCTGTGGAGAAAATCTCAAACTGGCTCTCAAACGTTTTGAAACATTAAAGAAATCTTTGAACAGTCCTAGAAAACAAAATCGTAATGTGCTGAACTTCAAGCCTTAAGAAGTTGAAGACACCTGGGTCCTATTTCAGCAGACTTCTTCCTTTGAAACCTGAATGTCAAATACAGTGTAGCTACCAGATGTAAGGTTAGATCAGGTGTCACTGAACCCTAGGCGGGTTTTGCTGCACCTCAAGAGGGCTGCACTGACCTCAGCAGACTGTCTCCCTGCTTACCCCAAGTCTGCCTCAGGCCCAGACAAGCACACTGCTTGCAAGCATCCTCTCATTAGGTGCAACATAGAATACCACTTACTTGTATGGGATGTGTTTGCTTCCATTGACAAGGGCGAGGATGACATTGCCCAGTGCTGACAATGAGAGACAGAGGCCAGAGCTTCCCTCCCGGTTTTTGCTGAGCACTTTCACACAGCTACCCAGGTCAATAAGATGCAAGCGGCTGCGACCTCCAGACACTGCCATAAACAAAGAAAGCAAACGGTTAGCATGTGCTTCCAAAAGCAGCTGCCAGGAAAGCAAAAGACTTGCCACAACTTGCAAAGAGGAAACAATCCAGAAACCTTTCCTAATTCACGTTAGCAGCAAGAAACTGTAGGGGTCCTGTTAACTCACTCTCAGCCTTTACTGCTGTACATTGCTGTCCACTCCGGACTTGCTTAAAAATTGCTGAGGCTTTCAGTACTCACCCGCTTCTGCAGGTTTAACTCTGTGGGAGTCACCACTGTGCGGTTTTGTTGTTGGTTTGTTTTTTTTTTAATATAGCTCTATTAGCCTATACCTGAGTTGGTTCTGTTTCTGTCTCTGTCATTACGGGTCCTCTGTCCAGAAAATGACAGGCTGAGAATTGCTTCTTGGTGAGCAGTGATCCTGTGGTAGCTCCTCTTATCCTTCCCATCTTGAACACTGAATCTTCAGAAGAACCGGTGGCGTCTGTGGGATGTTCAACTTTGCTTTAAGTCTATATACTTTTACATTATCATTTGGGCTAAGAAAAGGTTTGCCTTGCCATGGGTAATGGATTGTGGACAAGCTGCTCTGTTCTGAAAATAGCTTCTGTAAAACTAGCAGTGGATTCCTATGGTTTTTTTCTTGTTTACTCTGTATCAACACACTGCATTTAAAGTGAAAAGATGCTACCTTTTGAAACACCAAGATTAACAGACATTTGCTCTCTTAAAAAACCTATGGTTCCTTATGAACCCAGGATGGTCACTATGCAGACTTTACAAAAGTGCTTCTAATTCTCTATTATCTCAAGACAATTTCCTAGCTGGGGTTTTTTGCATCTGATCTTTGACCACTCCTCCCTATTCTCAAGAGTTAGTTTAGAAGCAATCTGTAGGAAAAGGTAGTTTTATTTCTAGGATCTTAACTCAAAAGTTAAGAGCACTATTTGAGGACACAAACATAACTTAAACAGGAGTGGAAATACTTTCACATCTGAGTTTACCTCTATGCAAATAAATTCACAGCCATTTTGACAAGCACCTCAACTTATGCATCTGGTAAAAAGAAATATTAGCGGTGGGGGGAGACCAGTTCACAAGCAAAGATGGCGATGGGAGCAACTACATGATGGGGACCTTACGAAAGATGTTTCCAGATACATTTCATTGCTTTGGAAATGTCTTGTCAACCCCAAGCATGTTTTTTCAATGACTCTGCATTCAGTAGCTGTGGTACCATGCCATGGTATACAGGCATGTAGGTGCCATAGGAGGTAGAAGGAAATAAGTTTACGTAGATACGTGAAGAAGACACTCATAAAACTTCCACATATTGACAAAAAGTTGATACACAATCATATAATTTTGCAGATTTGCTCATAGAAAGTCTACTATGAAAAATGGATATAAATACAGAAAACATACAGCTACTAAAGGTATATGTAACTATTAGCTGTAACTTAAAGCACATTAACCTACACTGAAAAAATAAGGAGAGAGATATTTAATTTTGCAAGCACTGCAAAACACAGGGCTCACTGCTTATTGCTACTACCTGGTGTCTTGCATGACACAAAACTTTCTGTAAAAATATAAAGCCTTTCTGTAAAATGTGTTATATATAATTCTGTAATTCTGTTTCAGTTTCAGGTGATAGCTAATTAAAACAAACAACAATAAAACTACGAGTAGATTTTTATGATAAAAGAAAAAAGAAACATGAGTAAAGAGAAAGAAGAATAGAAGATAAGAAAATAAAAGCAAAGCAAAGCAGAGAGAAAAAAAGAAGGAAGAAAGAAGAAAGAGAGAAGAAGAAAGAAGAGAGAAGACTTTTTCTGTGAATGGTTTATGCTATGGGATTTGAAGGTAATATTCCAAAAATGTAGCCAGCATCTCTGTCAACAATTGTTAAAATACAGTAACTTCTGCTTCTTTTAAGTCCTGTTAGTGCTCCAGCTACATCAGGTATTAGGCAACACAGGACTCCCATGTATTAAAATAAAAGAAAAAAGAAACATGAGTAAAGAGAAAGAAGAATAGAAGATAAGAAAATAAAAGCAAAGCAAAGCAGAGAGAAAAAAAAGAAGGAAGAAAGAAGAAAGAGAGAAGAAGAAAGAAGAGAGAAGACTTTTTCTGTGAATGGTTTATGCTATGGGATTTGAAGGTAATATTCCAAAAATGTAGCCAGCATCTCTGTCAACAATTGTTAAAATACAGTAACTTCTGCTTCTTTTAAGTCCTGTTAGTGCTCCAGCTACATCAGGTATTAGGCAACACAGGACTCCCATGTATTAAATTATACTGCGATATAGGTTAAATCATGCCGAGTATTACAAAACAGAAGTGAAAATAAATGTCTGATTAAAACTAATGTTGGTGGCTAGACATTCAAAACGCTGTAACGGTCCCCAGATTATATGATTGGGGGACCATTCCCCCAGTCCTTCCATTACACATGTCCATGGAAGTTTCACCACTGTGCTCTCAGTGGTGGGAAGTGGTGGGATACTTCTCACGGGAAGTATCCACATGCACTACGGGCTCCTGCACTCGCCGCAGAAAACCAGGCTTCCCTGGGGAACCGTCCAGGCAGCTGCACCTTCACCTCCTCTGAACTGCTCATGGAGGACCCTTGCCTCCCCTCTAAGAGTCCTTAAAACTCTGAGACTTAAAAGTCCCTGAGTCCTCTAGGACTGCTACCCTCAGAAGGCTGAAATTACCTTTTTTGAGTATCCCCTAATGATTTACTTAGAAAAACAAAGAAATGTGTTTAGTTGCTACTGAAAATGACTGCAGGTGACTTTACTGAATTATATATAATAAATATTTCTGTTGCTAAGATTACCAGACATTGGGTAAACAAAAGAAAATGAAAGAAATCGCTACCCTTCAAAATCTTAGTCATACTGTTTCCACACATATTTCTATTACACGGGTTGAGGAAATCCAGAATAAGAGAAATTTTTTGATCTTTCCTTCTTATTTAATTTACAAGTCAAAGTAAAACACTTTTAGGATGGCAGATCCACTTGCTTGATCTGAAAATGAAGTTATTTGTTAGGCAAGTTCTCCATTAATGTGCCTGGCAACTATAGAGAGAAGAAGAGAAGTGGAACATCCTAACACTTGTTTTTGTCTATGGCCACAGAGACTTTGCAGAGCTGACAGCTGAAAAATGACTGTGCCAGTTCTGCCACAATGCCATTTATTTCAATGGTGCTAAGCCTGCTTCATGACATTCCTGGTAATGAATCTAACAAGGAGGTAAGTACAGTACCAATGCGTTATTCTAACAGTCATTTTTTACCAAAATCATACGTTAGCCAGCCCTTTAATCTCTTATCCTTTAGAAGCTGGGTTTCTTTTTTTTCTTTCTTTTTCCTATCCTTTTTTAATTCTGTTACTGGAATCTATATCTCTACTATCTTCATGTTGTTTTCTGAAAAGTCCTTCATTACAGCAGGAGACAGTGATAATCACTAGGCGCCCTTTCTGAGCAGCTGGAATTCCCCCCTCATTCAATTATCAGCAAGATCTGACCCTGCCTGGCTTGTGAGGCCACTCAGATATGGAAACTTGAAGACAGGAGGTGGTATGGTCACGAGACAAAGATATAACTACAGGCAGTGGGCAAAGTATGCCATATTGTAATCCAACAGGATCATGTCTTCTTTTTTTAAAATGAGTCATTACAGCCACAGGAAAATATTTTTTCCCCTTTTATTAATTCCATTTGAAAACAGTAGAAAAGGACTGTGCATGCATGTATGTGTTCAGTAAAAGGCATGGAGCATTAAATAATTGTAATAATAATTCCCTCAAAATCAGCCATCTTTATTCCTATGAACCAGTCCATTTGAGCATTCAGTCTTTGAGCATATCAGACATTAATACTGCAGTGGTGTTCACCCACTACACATCATAGCTTGCAATCTATTCCTTATTACAAATAACCTATGCAGAGCCAGGAGCTGAAACATATGCTATTTCTGCAGAATTGCTTAAGTCCACAAATTTAAAAAAGCAGAGGTCACTGGTGTCTTTCAAACAAACATTTTTCCCTGTAAAACATGATTATTTAAAAAAAGAATTTTAATGTGAAAGTTTTCTTTTTCGGTGGGGGTGCTTCTTATATTATACAAATCTTCTATCACTGGAACTTACTAAAAAAAACCCCTCTGTATATGTCCAGTTATAAACAATTTCGGAGACTTGAAGCAGAAGATAAATATAATAAAAACATATAAATGGTGCAAGTCAAATAAACTCTTGAAAATTATAGAAACATATAAGTAGACATGGAAGCATCTTTTCCTCATTTACAAGTGGGAGATAGAAGTAAAGACACAAGCCAGTGAAAGCATCTATAGCAAAGAGAAGGAGCAAGCCAATCTGAAAAGCCCAGAGCCTTTACAAAGAACCATGAGAGTCCTTTGTGCACATGTAGTTGGGCCAGCAACTAAAATATCATGTATCTCCAAGAAAAGGTACAGTTTACGCATTGCCAACATCAGCTTACACACACACTGCCCTATTTGGGTGTCGAAGAGGATCAGCTAATGTAAGGGTGGCAAGGAATTCCTGTCGCCGTAATATTCTAATCCATGATTTTAACACTATCAGTAAAGATAATACTAAAAGCCAATTTAAAAAACACTTTTTTTTTAGATACAGAGGCCCACTTAGTGCTGAGGACTAACTGTTAGTATCTCCACAATGACAACTAAATTGACAAATGATGGTAATAATCCCCAGTGGCCTTTAATGGCCTTTGGTGGGTCTTTACCAGGCAGGTGGACAGTCTGCTGGTATGAATGGCCCTACCCCATGCTGAATGGAGAACTCTGCTAATTTTCACCACTAAAGAGTATTGTTTAAAGGCCTGTTTAAAACCAGTTTCCAGGCAGGTTTGGAGGAGACAGAAGGGAGCGAAGGGACAGCTTACTTCCGCCTTTGCCGCTCTTCTCCATGCGGTACTGGTAAATGTGCAGAGTGAAGAGCATGTGGGAGTTGCGGTGATCCTCCTCGTCACAGTCCCGCTGGCTGCTGCGACGCGAGGTGATGGCGGCATCGAGGAAGAAGGCAGCCTTCTCTGCCGTAGGGGCGCGGAGCTCGCTCTGATTCTGAAGCTGCAGGTTAACACAAGGAAGAAATTACCTAGGAACTCCCACACAAGTCAACACTACCAGACAACTTCCTGCAGTCAATGCACACTGTGGATACTCTGGCTTCTGATGGGACCGAAAAGGAGGAGGTGCCCGATGGAATGAGACCCTCCTGACACTGGCAGTGGCAATACCATGCTCTCCAGGAGCCCCACAATTGAATCCAGGCTTTTGAGGGTTCTCACTTGGGGTATCTCTGGTGGCAGTTGTTACACATAAACCCCAGCAACTGGAAACCGTCCTATAGTCTGGCCAGATGCATAAATTTGTTCCTTCACTTTCTCAGAATTTTAAGCTATTTGTTCTCATTAATTATTCATTATTTTCATTAGTTTTACAGCTTTTTTTTCCCTGCATTGCTGGCTCTGGCAACCACTGTGTCCTTCTGATGGTTAGAAGTGAAAAAAAAAAAATGGTGGAAGACATGTCAATCCCAAATTCAACAGTTGGTGGAGACTGGCAGGGGCAGGACTACGTGTTACCCTTCAGAAAGTGTTAGAAGGGAGCAGTCCACAGATAAATCTGGGAAATAACAGGACTGAAGCTTGTGTTCAGCCCCATAGCATGTGGGGAGCAGCACAGAAGAGAAGCCTTTTTCTTGTCCCTTCATACCACATGCTTATGCACCTGCTCATGAGCCAGAGCAATCCATTAAATGGAACAAGGCAGGTAATGTACATACATTCACATTTGCTGGACCTCAATCCCAGCCACCAGCCTGCTCTTATCTCTCCAAAGTGATAGACAGCATAGGAGGGCAGATATTATTAACCCCCCCGTGACATTAGGAATGCATGCATGTTTCATGTCACCTAAGATTAGTTTGTCTGTGGAAGGGACATGTGACTGCAATCTGATGGCATTAGTTTCGGCAGTACACAGAGCTGGCCCACAGCCCATAGGATAGACTTGTTTTGTCTGGCATAATAACAGCGAGGAATTCCCATTCTCAGGGTTTGTTCCCCTGCGATGTAATACAGCTAGAAGTTAAGTTCTCCTAGAGGAGACAGTTCTCTTGTCTTCTCTTCGTAACCATTAACCAGCCTGAGGAGGGCATAAAGCCAAGGCTCTGCGTGGGATGGGGTGACACAGCTGAAGGCTAAGCCCTCTCTAGAAAGAGGGAGGGGGGCAGGAAGGAGTTAACAAGGCAAGCAGAAGGCAGGCCAGTCTGTGGGCTGATCTCACTAATGTAAGCAACAAGAAAATATGCACACTTGGAAAGGTCCAATGACAGACAGTATGACATATGGTGATTATTCATTTGCTATACACGCTGATGATTTTGCATATCTGTATGGCTATAATATAATATCCTCCCTTCATCTGAGGATTTTGAGAATTCAGGTGTAGGACACATGACTCCAGAATGTCACTATGTCTGTAAACACAGATACATAGATGTCTCGTGGAGCTACCTTTTCTCCACTGATCTAAAATAATTCATTTTGTATATGGCTGTTCTGTCTGTATCGACAGGAAAATAAGCAACAATAATGGAATATTTATTATTATTGCTATTGTGCTTAAATACTTTAGTAAAGAATTGAGCTCTAAGGAGAGGCTAGTTGTTACACAGTTAGGTAACAGATGTAACACACATATGCTAATTCAGATCTTAACTGGCCCATCTATCACCCCAGTGGGAACTGCGAAGACTCAAGTCTCCCATCTTATATTCACCAGACTGCACCCATTACTGGATATCAGAGGGTGAGATTTCTTGTGATACTGTAAGTATTTCATAAAGCACTAAAGCCAGGAGTCAAGTGAGAATGAGAACCCTAATTGTTATTTAAAATCAAGATGCAACTTTGTAGTCCTTGGGTAGAATGGAAAAGAGTGGAAAATATGATCTAAGTACGTCCAAAAGGCTTAAACCACAAAGAGATAAAACACAAAATTTGTTACTTGCTGTTTAAAATCTCATGATTCATTACTTTTGTGAATGTGAATCATGATTTCTAGGTGCTTGGAGCTGGAAATAGGATACATGACCCTGTAGGTCTGTTCCCTCCTCCCTCCATTCCCCATCCTTGGATAGGCAGTGCTCTGCAGGTTCTGGATGGTAGCAGCCTTTGCCTTTAAGGTTGAAAGAATGTATTCAAGCTACATCATGCTGGTTTGCTCCCTCTTCATTTACTCATACAAAAATCAGATTCACTCCCTCACAGACAGCAAAATGAAAGAATAGGCCTTTTTTCACCTCAAACCAAGAGGGGGAAAAAAAATAGGGCTGCTGAGACTTTCTAGCAGTTACCCAGGAAATACATGAGCCAGTTACTCATTCCCGCTAAACCTCCAAACCTAAGAAGAGTTAGAGTTATTCTTGGCTTGCCCAGCTCAGGAATTTATTTCTTGGCAGCAATTAATAAGTAGCGATTAATGCTTCCTACAACATCGCTAATGCAAGTGCTATAAATAATGTAGTTTATAAAGAGATAAACAGCCATATTAATGGCCTCCAGTTATTTGTGCAGTACTGTAAATATTTTAGCTTGTTGTTTTACAAAAGAGAGATCACACTTTTTTTTTTTTTTTTTAAGAATGAGGTGAATTTTTGTTTGCACTGAATGTTTTCACATTTTACTGCAAACACAAGCCCCTGCTCAACATTAGTTATACCAGAGGTACAAATATTTAGGCCAGGAGAGCAGATGGCCCTGCAGCTGCAGGTCATAAAGTTCTTACATGTTTTAAAGTAAACACTTTCAAGTCTATAAACTTTATGCTGAGGGTAGTTCTTGAATTTGAACCATCTTAATAGCTCAAAAAAAGAAAAAGAAGTCACATTGCTTGTTCAGTGTAAAATGAACCTTGGATTCACCTGCATGCCATAAATGGGGTCTTCACAAAGGTAGACACCTGGGGACTGGCCATCTTGCAGGCTGCCTGTAGCCACCTCTGACAAGAGGTCTCTCAGATTTTCTTCTTTCCCCCACACTTCCACTGCAGAAATTCGGACTGAGAAGCGGGCTCCTGTCTTCTCTTTGCGTTCATTAATCAACTTGAAGAGCCAGGAGATGGCACAAGGGATTATACCGAGGTTTTGCATGGAATCATCCTTCCCGATCATGGTATATGACTTCCCTGTCAGGAAGAGGGGGATGGAGAAAAGATAACAACATCACTCCCAGGACCTTCACAGCCTTCTGTCAAGAGAGATTATCCTGCATAGCCTCATGAAAATAACTTCTTCGCTACAATAAGAACAGTCAGCAAGGGAGAAAGATAGGCAGGTAGACAAATAGTACATGGAAACTGGAGAGCATTTAAAACCAACAGACGAAATCTTGAGCTGCTTTCAAAAATCATTACCTCATGCATTCCCTTGACATCCCCCATTCCCCAGGCAGGGTGCTGCAGGTCCCTACCACACAACACTGCAGCCTCTGATGTGGGTGAATAGTGGGGGGAATTGAGCAGAGCAGGAGTGCTATGGTCTCTAAAAATCCCTGCTTTAGATACTGTGAGTGTGGTATTCTTTGAATACCATTTTACTTCAAAGCACTATACTACGCTTCATACGCTGGGGTTGGGATTGACATAAACCTGGTCCCGGAATCATAAAGATGTAACTTCATACAGAAGAAAACCCAGGTACATGTGGTCATTTGGTGCATAAGTGGATCCACAACAAGAAATATTTTATCTGGGTCAAAACCTTGCCCTGGTTTGCTATTATTTGACTCTGCAATTATAGCTCTGGCTTGAGTCTGCTGTAAAAGTTTGCTGATTGAGAACAGACACAGAGTACTATCTTATACTGCTTTAGGTGTCACTACATATAATGCTCTTAGACAAGTTTTCTAAAGCTCCTAAATTTATAAGCCAAATGATAAAGGTATACATCCTTTCAGGCAAGTACTTGTGGCTTCTTTACCTTGTTTCATTTCTTATGTTGAATCTATGTGGATAAAGATCAGCAAAGAAAATATTTCTATGTATGTATCTGTGGCAAGGTCTGGGTGTGTCCACCGTTGGTGGAATGGTGGCGGTGCAGCTAACGAAGCAACTGCAGAGACTCAACTCGTGCTCTAGCAAAGCCCTAGCTAGGCCGCCTCTCTAAAGGACACGTAGCACTTGTGAGACACCATTATCCGGTGGCTTTCTTTTCCATCTCATTTGCCTTCTCGTGTTTGGCAGGTCACAGGGGGTTAAATATCCAAGTGCTCATCCTCGCAGTACTCCTGCCTGCCCAGAAGGGCCTTGTGGTTAGTTGGACCAGTGGCCCTGCTCCATTCGTTGTACCAGAGCTGGTGGCATTGCAGCATTCAGTACTCTCCAGTTTTTGTTGCCTATAATTTGGGATAATACTGGGATAAAGCTTGATCTTCTTTATCACTTGAAAAACTGAATTATCCTTTTAAGTTGTATGTGTATGTCTGTGTTTCTTTGAGACAGTAAAGAATGGAGATCATTGCACACATACAATACAACCCTCTTCATTAAAGAGACAGTATTTTCAAAATACTATTAGATAAGTATGAACAAAATATGATTACTCTTGAAATCCAGTTATCTCAAAAGAATAGTGTTAATGATGATGATTCTCCTTTTTATTGTCTTTCCATGAATACCTGAAATGCTGCTGATGCGTTTGCAAAGAGCGAGTTTTGATCCATTGGTAACATTCAGTTAACCATTAGAATAGGGTTTGTTGGAGACAGAATAGGAAGAGGTTAGTAATGAGTGAATTGTCTAATCAGGTAATAGAATATAAATCAAACTACTTGAGCGCCCAGTCACAGCACCTGAATAGTGCCATCACAAACATCAAGTTCTTGAGTGGATACTCACAGCCTTTACACAGTTTGGTAAAAGTGGTATTTTGGCAGTCTCCAATACCAAGCACATCTGTAAAACTGTAGAACATTGTTGGATCATTCATTAACAATCCACTGTTGGATCATTCATTAACAATTGAAGACAGTGCTAAAAATTGCTGTAGTACTCAGGGGACGGAATGAAGCAACAACTCAAAGATAACTTCTGTTGCAAAGAGCATGCTGCCAACATTTAGACAATATGCAAAGTGAATAGATGTGTAAGCAAGAGGTGAAGGTGTAGTACAAGGTCATGCACAGTGTACCACTTTCAAATACAATGTGCATAGGCACAGACAAATGAAAGTTTGTTTTCCCTAATCTAATGTACTAGCAATCTTGGGTTAAAAATATTCACTTTGCTGCTTGAATAGGGAAATTTAACAGTACCAACCAAGCTTGGCATGGCCAAAGCAGAACACGCAGCCATCTGCCCCATTGACCACAGACTGGATCACCTCAGCCACAGTCCCAGCACATACTTCAGCCTGTCACGGGTATTTAAAAAAAAAAAAAAAGAAAAAAATAAGAAAAAAAAGAAAGAAGATAAAACCATTAACAATAATAAGGAAAGTCAACAGAGTATTTTCACTGGAAAATGGTCGTAACGTCATCAGTGCTCCAGATAGCATGTTCAAGTATCAAAAAGTCTAATCCTCTTTGTCTCATTCATGTGACCTGTGCTGTTGATGGGAATTACATTACTTGTGTAAGCACATGAAGCAGGACTTTTACTCTGTGTCAAGTAAGTTTCATTTGCTGAAGCATCAACATCCTTTGTGGGGTTAAACAAAATACACATACTGTAAGGGGATGTGGTTGGTTTGTCAGAACTGCCTATTTAGGGGACTTTAAAAATACATTTTTGATTAAAAAACAATCAAATACTGAGGAAATTTTTACAGGCTCTATTATTTGCCCAGTTATGGACTGAGTTCAATTCCACTAGCAGGTGGGTAAGGAATGTAAGGAGAACAAACAGCCTCTTTGGTATTAGTTAGGGAACATATCTTAATTTTCCTCTACATTATCATGAGTCTTCTTAGCTTTTAGCAGCAGTAGGCTCCATGCTGAAGACTGTAGCAGTATTTTAAGAAGTACAACACACAGATTTACCCTGGGCATTCTTAGATTTAAGGTTCAAGGAGGCTGAATGGTCTATAGTGCTTCTGCAGCAACTGCCTATCAGTAGTAGGTGAAACTAAATCAGAATTTGCAGTTTAGGCTTCTACGTGAAGCACTTCACATTTGATAATAAATCATGTAAATTCACTTAGTTCATGGGTATTTCTAGACTATCTCTCTAATAGTAAATCAAATGGGCCAAGAAAGGGACTGTTCACAGGCCAGCCCTTGAACAGCATCCAGGCGTTAGTCTGGGAGGTGCTAGCTGCCTGGACCAGAGCTAGGTCAGGGATTGACCTAATGATACGATCATACAACAGTGCCTTAGCTGGCCCTGTGTCCTCGCTCTGTTCAGTTTATGAGTACAGAAGCAGCCTTACAGTACTGTTTTCTAATTATACTTTGCAATGTTACTTTACTCTTCTACTGTCCTCCTCATGACATTTGGGTAACATGGTTCATCAAACCAAAGAAGTCTAATAAAAATAAGAAATCTGAATATATACATATGAATAAAGATTTGTGGACTAAAATCCCCATCCTCCTATTGTAAACTGTACAATAGAACACTGTATAAATAATCCTTGACTTAATGAATAGAGGACAGCATTAGAAAACTGCAGTTCTGATCAGATCACTGTATACACCAGATAATAAGATTTTATAATATTCAATAACTTGTTGATATTGAGGATTTGCCTACTAGGCACCATTTAGCACACTTATTGCACATATAATTTTAGGAGCAATTATTTACAGTAAAGAATAAAGAAAGCACACAATTATCGAGATACAATTTAATAAACTGATTTCATTATTTATGACATTGGCAGACCAAATTCAGCCCTGGTCTAACTCCACTGAAAGTACTACTGTTGCAGCAGAAATTAATTTGGCTCTGGTGCACGCTATTCTTTGGATAACTATTCTGATCATACATTGCCTACCTGTGATGCATCTTGGGGGAAAACTGCATCGAAAGCAAACATCTTGGGTGGAACCTGGTTGCCCCTTTTCTGGAAAGCATTCTGACCTCCACAGGCCAACGGGTCATACAGCGTGATTTGCTTCTTACGGGGGTCAACTTTTAAGAAAGAGCTGGACTCAGACGTGTCTCTGGCAAGCGTGGAAGAAATGCGCACCATGACTTTGACCTGTCAGCAAACACACAAAAAGATGACCGCATTTGATTAGTCTGTTGGATGCTCTGGACTGGTATGCTGAATGAACTTTCGAATTACACTCAACCAAATCATACTTGCTTGCTGTAGCTAGCATCTGTCTCAGTGGAAGTCAGTGAAGACACAGGAATTACTATAGGCAGAATTTGGCCTAAAACACACAGTGAATAAAGCCAGAACTCATCTCCATCTACTTCAACAAGCAACTTGTGTATTTAGAATTATGAGGTACATCATGGTGTTTTAGTGTCAATGTTACTCAAGTACAATGATGAGGTATTACATCACCTTGTCTTACTCTCGGCATAAATTGAATATTAACCGTACCCCAGTGGCCTAATTAAGAAAGCTGAAAGGTAATCTAGACTGCTAAGCTATCAGAACTGCTGTGGTTTCTACAAAGCAGTCTGATCAATAAAGCAAGCACATAAAAGCCAGATCTGTAATTTACACCTTTCCGATTCTAATCCAAATGCAAAAAGATGAAGTGCTCAGTTCTAAGTGTCATCATCAAAGAGGTGTGAAAAGAGCCCTGTTTTAATGGTCAGATTTTGAAATTATTGGTAAGGGAGTAGAATGTAATAAGTGATAAAAGATTTGTTAAAACATGTTAGCTCACAACTCATTAAATGGCTACATAATAAGACGTTATACCTAAGACAAAAATACATCTTCATGGATTTAATGAGGTTATACTGCATCCTTAGCCCAGTTGGTAAGCAATTTAGATGTAAGTAAAACTGGTGACAGTTGGTCTGGCTTTGGTTGTCCCCATAAATTCACCACCTGCAGACACCCAAGTTCCTGAACTTTAAAGGGCAAACATCACCTCTCTGCCAGCTCTTGCCTCTAGCCACACCTGCACACTCTTTGTCCTAGAGCAGACTGACTTTCACACCAACCAGACAGAACTTTTATCTAAATACTCCTTAACTGTATGTCACTTGTATCAAACCCACCCACGGTTGGCATGCAAGTGACTACAAAGGGTCACCTCAGCACAGGGAGGGAGCACATCTGCTGTTGGAATGGCAGCTGCACCCTGGGAGGAGGTTGTAGCCCTAAAAGTTAGATGAGGCTGCAGTTTCTGTTGGCCTCATTGAGACTGGTACTCTTTGTATGTAGATCTCATTTCATGCTGGCCTAAACTCATCCCACATGGAAATAAATTGGCTGCTTTGAGAGGTAAAATCTGGGCAAATTCATTTTTGACACAACTCCTTTGAAGACAACACAATGAGACCAGAGATTAATTAGGATTATTCAGTATTTTCATGATGTCTTCTCTATATGTCTGTGAGTCAAAGTGGTAATTTGACTCCACATTTTTTAACCTGGGAAAACAAGTTATCATGATGAAAGATTGTGAAATGGTCACAAGTCTGTGCACATTATTTCAGTTTTACACAATTAGTGAGGGAAAGA